TGTGTGTGTGTGTGTGTGTGTGTGTGTGTGTGTGTGTGTGTGTGTGTAGGGTAACGGGGAACCCAGTTTGATAGACCAGAGGATGTTCAAGTTGCAAAGTTTTTTCAGAGGCAAGCCCTGCTGCTGAATCTGAAAGACAGGCCACAGCCCACATGGAGCCACATTCTAAATACCAAGGAAACCACAGTCGGTAAAACTAATCTTAAGAGCAGGCACTGTGTCTTGTCTTTGTATGGTGGTGCCCAGCCCAGGCCAGCCCAGCCCTCACAGGTGGTGAGCATTAGTAACTGTTTGATGAACAAGTAGGCAGAACTGCTAACTCAGAGGAAATAGTGAATCTGTTGTCTTAGCACAAGCCTGAAAGAACACTGGATTTACCTTTCCGCATTCAGTTATGATTGCTTGTGCTTGCATGGAGCCCATACTTCATAGGTAGCTTTTTCTTTCTTTTCTTTTTTTTTGCTAATTAGATAGGAGAAGTATCACAAAGTAAAAAGCTTTAATGTTTTTTAAAATATAGTTCTAACAAAAGGAATGTTTTTTGTTTCCAGTGTGGATAATTCAAGATTTTAGTTTAAGGGAAATACTCTCACTTAGGGAAAGGATGATGGTACTCAGCGTAATCTTCATATTTGTCACTGAAATCTGTGTCTTCTAGAACAAAAAGGATCCCCTTAAAAGGGCTCAACTACCTTAATGACAGGACAGTGCTGATTCTTTTAAGTCATTTTTTGTGATAGAACAGTTTATTACATTGGCCATTAAAGAATGTTTCAAAACTTGAAGCTAAGTTATCCCAGTCTAAGGTAAAAGCTCATCCATTTTTATACATGGGTTAAAACCTGTGAAAGTCCAAAATCGGGCCTTAGCTGCTCCTCGAAGGTAGTCCAGGCCTGCAATCCCAGCTTGTTGGAAGATTGAAGCATGAGAATTGCAAGTTTAAAGCTAACCGATGCAGTTTCATGACGCCCAGTCTTAAAACTTTAAAAAGGGGGCTCGGGGTGGGTAAAACACTTAGCAGCGTTGCTCAGAGGTCCTTGACGTGAACACGTGCCCATACACACGCACACAGACTCTAGAATTCATTGTAAGTTTCTTTGCATCATGTATTTTCAGTAACATCCAGGAGATGAGAGCTCGGCACAGAGACGCTTTCCTGAAGAAACATAACCTCAAACTAGGTTTCATGTCAGCATTTGTGAAGGCCTCGGCGTTTGCCTTGCAAGAGCAGCCTGTTGTAAATGCAGGTAAGTTTCTTGAGACCAGTGTAGCAAAGGTCTTTGGAGCTTGGTGTATGAACACAGACCTGCTGTCGCATTTAGGGTCACCAAGGCTTCTTAATTTCACAACTGTAGAAACATGATCACCTTCCCCAAATACCATCATGAGTACTTTCTCTCCACCAAGTGGACAGTTAGGCTTCTTCTACTGTGTAGCTTGGCAGTTGCTCCGGCAGCAGGCAGCTCCGGGATAGCCTAGCTTCCCAGGCTCTCTTGTATCATGGAGAATTTCAAGTTCTGGCTGCTCCCACCACCACCACCATCATGCATCGTTTACTTGGGGCTTGACTTCCACGCTTGGCATAGGCTCCAGGTTGACCTATGATCTCAAGTTAAAGGCCTCATTGGGAAGGCTAGGGCTTAGTACTCTTTTTCTTTTCCTCTTTATTCTCATTGAAGTGTTGGTCTAGCTCACAGTTCTTGCTTCCTGTTGAGGCACTTCTGTGTCTCTTGGAAGATAGGAAAGGGGACAGTGACACTTTGCAGTCCTCACCATAAAATCCCTCGTCTGTTTCCCATTGAGTGCTGTGCTCTAGGTAAGTAGGAGGGCTTTCTTTGCTTGTATGTATCTCTCAGAGTTCTTGTTTACTTGACATGCATTTCTAACAAGCCAGTGTTGGAAGATTTCCAAGCCCTGATTTTCTCATAGGTAGGTACAATTTTCAGCAGTTGGTTTACTGTTTCAAGATGCCATATTTAAAAGACAGACCTGCTCCACTTCCACCTGGATCTCTAGAGAGAGGCTTCCCTCTTCTTGCTGAGGAAGCAGACTGGGCAGATCATCTACCCTCCTTTACCTTTTAACAGAACTTGATAACTGGCCATTCTCTGCTCAGTGAAGGCTTGTGTAGATGAGCAGTTAACGTGATCTTGTTGTGTGAACTTTCTGTTAGCTGGGCAAGAATGTGCTCCTACGGGCAGGTTCTTTCAGAGGCTTGGGGAATATTGTCATAAATTGGGATGGGAGCCAGGAGAGAGTCAGCCACTTGTAGTTACTTTCATCTTGATTAGTCAGTGCACACTGCAGTGGCCACTGAAGATTTTTACCCTGTTGACTCATTAGCCTTGACCAAGAGGGTTGTATGTAACATACGTTTTCTCTTTCATAGTGATTGATGATGCAACCAAAGAAGTGGTGTATAGAGATTATATTGACATCAGTGTTGCAGTTGCTACCCCAAGGGTATGTTGGGGCAAGAGTTGAAAGTGCTTGCTTAGATCCAGTCTTTTTTTTTTTTTTTTTTTCTTTTTCTGTGATAGACACCATGACCAAGGCAACTTATAGGAGAAACAGT